AATGGGAGATGTTCTTTGTTATTCTGCGGTCTACATGTTGTAATGTACTATTTAATTTATGCATTTCTCTGTGCTGAGTGGTTTTGCATTTGTTTGTACTGTATTACTGTCACGTAGGGTTGTCATTTTACAGGTCATGAATAACCATTAATTGGTGGATTAAACCTCGATCGAGGTATAATCCACCAATTGACATATAGTGAGATAGACCAATTGAGGTATAATGCAGTTTTCATCATAATTTTTTTAAAGAGAAATTCGAGCATCTTTTTGCATATACAATCTTAAGCTTTGATGAGTACTCATTAGTGATTATACCTGAATTGAGGTATAATTCACCAATTAATGGTTATTCCTGACCTGTTTTAGCGATATTGTTTTAACATTGCCATAAAAGTGGAAAGTTTGGCTAGCTATAAAACCAGGTTCAACCCACCATTCTTTTTTCTTAGATTGTCCTGAACCAAGTCAGGAATATGGCAGTTGTTATCAAATAGTCCGTTTATATGTATGTTGGCTTTTGTTTTTGTTGCAGTTCAGTGTTTCTGTTGTTCCGTTGTTATCCTCTTAGTTCGTGTGTCTCCGTCGGTTTAGTTTGTAACCCGGATTTGTTTTGTTTTAATGAATTTGTGACTTTTGAACAACGGTATACTTCTGTTGCCTCTATTTATATTGTATTCTATATATAAAAAGATTTCAATCGTCAAACTAAAAATAATTAGAATAACTTGCATAATAACCGACCATATTTGCACTTATTACATGTATATTTATATAGCCGCGTAATTAATATTTATATAGCCGCATAATTAATAAGTAAATTGTTGTATGTCAGAATGGATTGTATAATACAAGTGACAGCATTAGCAATATTGCAACACAATGACTACAAAATTTTGTTCTTATCAATTAAGATTGCCAGCATGTCCTCTTTTTATTCAATATACTGACTGGTAACAAAAATTCAGTAGTTTTGTTAACTCAGGCTGGCTCGTATAACAAAATTATTTGACCACATCAACCAAAACCATGAAAACTGACTATGTTTGCATTTTATTATGTGAATTTATATGGCCGCATAATACATCAGTAATTTTTTTTTATACCAGGATGGATTTTATAATACAAATGACAGAAATATTGCAACACAATGACTACAAAATGTTGTCCGCATCTAATTAGGGTGCCAACATGTTCAAAATATAACTCGCCACTAAAGATTAGCAGCTTTGATATCTCAGGATGACTGGAATCACAAAATTATTTGACTGCATCAACAAGAACAGACTATATTTGCACTTTACTATACAAATCTATATAGCTGCGTAGTAAATCAGTAAATTTTCTAAATCAGGATAGATTTTATAATACAATCGACAGCAATAATGGAATACAATGACTACAAAAAAATGTCCGCATCAATTTAGAGTGCCAGCATGTCCTCTTTTTATTCAAAATCTTGACGCGTCACAAAACTTCAGTACTTTTAATATCTCAGGCTGGCTCGTATGACCAAAATATTTGACTGCATCAACCAACACTGACCATATGTGTTCTTTATGATAAACATGACACAAGTATGACATGTATGATGTGGCATCATCTGGGGATTCCTTTACTGACTGACCATAATATTCATGATTATTTGCAATTTTATAGCCGCATCATAAATCATAAATTTGTCAACTCAGGATGGCTTGTATAAAGTAAATTACAGCAATATTGGTACATGGTCATGATGACTACAAAATATTCTCCGCATCAATTTAGAGTGCCAGCATTTCCTCTTCGTATTCATAATATTGAACGGTCACTAGGATGGTTTGTGTATCAAAACTATTTGACCACATCATCCAACACTGACATGACTGATTATATTTGTACTATATAATCACAAGTATGAGAAGTTCTCATCTGGGAATAGTATACTGACTGACTGTTAATATATTTTGTCGTTTGATTGATTTTGGTGGTAGCGGAACGTCCAGGGGCAAATATTTCATTCATGTTCAGAACGAGTATATTTTTTCGAACTTCCCAGATATCATTTATAATCGGTAAAGATGAATCTGCCGAAATTGAGGAGATGGTTCATAACTATACAACACCTTATATATCCGGACACTATACACTTTTCGTTTGAACATTTAGTGAAATAAACAGAATCGTAAATTCAAGGCAAACAATGTGAATTACGATGAATAATCCATGTAATGCATAGACTCATAGTATAAGTATATTTAGGAAGACACTGTAAACAATTGGGGACGAAGTAACGTAAACAATATATGATGTTTATATCCCATCATATAAAAATATTTTTCAGATGCGTTGGATAACCTTTCTATCCGCCTTCTAATTAAAAAAAAACCTTTCCTTTCTTGTATGATAGCTGCATGTATATTTGTCGATCAACGCGTGTGAAATTTTATAGACAGTATTTATAAGAATATGAAATGAAAAAAGTAATTTTAATGTGTATAATATGTATACAGAGTCACCAACGAGTAAAGTAATTTGCTATTCTTGGAAAAAAGAACAATACGGTTATTGTTTACACAATAAAAGCTCAGGTCTAAAATAAAAAGTCATAAACACGATAATCTGTCATAAGCAGACCTATCCTGAGGTCTGGTCAGTAGCAGATCTGTCCACAGGTCTGATCTTGGGCAGACCTGTCCTCATGACTGGTCTATAGCATACTTGTCCAAAGGTCTGGTCTGGAGGTCAATAGGTCTGCAGCAGTCCTAAAAAAGCAGACCTATGTATAGTGTACCAACAACGAAGTTAACTTGCTTGTCTGCTTAACTTTTGTACAGGTTAGAACTGCATCAATCTGTAAGATATACACATTGGCAATTGTTATTCTAGGAAAGTTTTCATTCATCTGCTTAGATATTTTAGAGGAATTAGCAGGAGTACAGTTCATAATTTGATCAGGTTATTTTAAAAATAGTTATAAAAATCAAAATATTAAAAATATGGTTTCATAGTTGAGTCTGAGATATTTTCAGTAGACTCATTCAGTTCAAAAATAGTTTCTGCTTCAAAACGATTACTCCCAGATGTTGTAATAGCTAGGTCTATGATTTGCAAAGAGGAACACTATAAAATTATTTGGATAAAAAACAATGGAGTCACAATGTCATTATATAGTTAATATTTACAGATGATTTTTTTAGATATGGAAAAGAAGCAACAGCTAATATAAATAGTAAGATGTGATATTAGTGCCAATGAGACAACTTTCCATCAAAGTCACAATGTATAAAACGTTTTCAATCATAAGCCAAAGTACGGTCTTCAACACGGAGCCTTGGCTCACACCGAACAGCAAGCTATAAAGGTTTCAAAATAACTAGTGTAAAACAATTCAAACAGGAAAACCAATGGTCTAATCTATATAAAAATCGAGAAACACCTATGAACCACACCAGTATCTGTTGATACCACAAAACTAATTTGCATCCAGATGAAAAAGGATGTGTACCATGGTGGTAATGTTTTCAAAGCTAAACAAAAGTAAAATAAAAGCACCGAACTCTAAGGTTAGGTTGATATACTCAACAAAACTAGTTGTTTTCGGTGTTGGCTTTTTCTCAAAGTCGTCTGCAACCGGCCCGGTATTTTGTTCCGATTCTTTTTTACATATTCTTAGTAGTTTTTACTTGAAAAGAAAAATAATCAAATTATCAAAACTATTTGTTGCTTTAATTTATATGGTAACTCAACCGAATGGACAATGGAAAATTGCTGTTTATGTCGTAAAATTTAAAATGAAAACGGAGAATGTGTCAAAGAGACAACAACTTGACCAAAGAGCAGAAAACACCCGAAGGCCACCAATGGGTCTTCAGTAGAGTGAGAAAATCCCGCACCGGAGGTTGGCCTCAGCTGGCTCCTTAAAAAATGTATACTAGTTCAGCGAAAATAAACGTTAAACTAAACTCCGAAACATAAAAATGAACCAAAACTTAAAAAAAAACATACAACTTGAAGATTAACATGGGCCAGAGGTTCCTGACTTGGGACAGGCGCAAAAAAAGTGACGTGGTTATACATGTTTTGTGAGATCTCAACCCTCCCCTATACCTCTAGCCAATTTGGATACGTGTCTATCAAGTGCATATGTTTTCACCATGTTACGTGTTGATCTGAATCGATAAAATAAAATCCACCTTGATAAAAAGATAAAAAGTAAAATTTGAAGAATGATGGCAAAAACTAAAACCTATGGAAGTATTCTTGGTTTAGTTGAGGTAGTCTTAGTCACAGCCGAATGCGGATATTTTCAGTCCTTTCTTCGTTTTCGTTCCGATAGTACTATTTCGACGAAAGTTGTTTTTTTGGAGATATTTTTTAAATTTTTGAGTGTCTCCGCCAACGTGACCCAATAATTTCTCTTTTCTTAGTCGTCAACCTCCGTTTGTATGCTATTTTTGTCGCATTCTTTTACTGTGGCTTAGTTTGGCCTAGGCCTTAAAAAACGCAGGATTTCAGTCCAAAAATTAAAATTTTCTATCTTTTGACGTAATCAACGCACTTTCAGCCACCCAAAATCTGGATTCTGCTTTACTAAAAGATAAAATACGCATGTGCTTCTGAAGAACAGATAAATGCAAATCGTTTCCGATGCTAATGTCATTTCTTTCATGAAAATGATTTTGTAACAAAATAGGGGGTCCAAATATGGTCCTTAGTATACCTTGTCCGTTGACCTTAGATGGGTTAGTCTATTTGAATTTGTGTGTATTTTGGTCTCATATCTCCTTTCGTATTTAATTACTTTACTTTTTTTGGCAGTTTGAGCTGTTCATGATTAACTGTGTTGGTAAATTATTTGTTTGAATGTTTTGCACTACGTGCAATTACATAAATAAGCATATATACTCATTCATATAATTTACAAAAGTCATTCTTCATACAAAAATGTGTCTTTTGAAGAGGTTTTCGATGACGTATGTAAATATATTATGTGTTTATGCTTTCAGAACCAAGACCATGCTTGCGATCAAAACCTGTATCAAGCTACAGTATCCGGAACTGTGGACGTTTTCCCTGTAAATGAGGTAATTGTTTTTTATAATAGTTGTAGAAGAGCTGTGAATACACCATGCGTAACAGAAAGCAATGATTTATGTCCGACACTTGCTGTTAAAATTTAAAAATGTACCGAATAAAAACTATATAATAGGCGGACACATGTATTTATATAGAATAGGATCTGAGAAAGTTTTAAGTTCCAGCATTGGTTATGGATTTGATGCCCAAAAATTAAACAGTGACAAAGTATTTGAATTGCTAAGTGGAAGCCCCAAACAATTCTGAAAAAAGAAGGTGTACAAAATATTATATTATTAAGGATTCCGATAAAGTTTCAATTATTTCAAGTGAAGATTTTGAAATTATCATATTAACTGTTCTAATTGTACTGTACCAGATCCGAAAAAGAGTTTCGGACACCAAATAAAGTAAAATACCGAATATATTTTCGATAAAATACAATTTATGCCCTTCTCCATGTACTCCGTCAAATCACTACAACCGATTAGCTAAACCAACTCTTTGGTGGGTTAGCTTTTTGATAAGCAATCAAGTCACTAATGTATTGAATAACGAACACATAAGATGAGATACTGAATTTTTACTTATCAAATTAAAATTGTCAAAACATAAAGTATTACAGAAAGTGTTAAAAAATACTTTAACAAATAAAGGATGACTGAAAAATATCCTTATTCAACATCAGTAAATCAAATATCAATAAAATTGTCACACACCATTGTATAACATAAAATCCTGGCCTAGAATGCGGTCACTTATGCCCATACCAAAGAAGTGTAATAGATTAAAGTCATTTACAAAGAGATAATTTGTTAAAACAAATACTAATGCAATAAGTCGTACTAAAGCTTATATATGCTGCAATATCCTTGCACAAATAAAATTGGATAACAAAATGAGAAAATGAACTCTGTAAGAAAGTTTAAAAAGTAGGTGATGATGGGGAAGGAGGTTGGCAAAATCGAAAAAAGCAAATATGAGTTATTGATCAAGAATAATTTCGATCCCCTTTCTGTTTGAATTATATGTTATTTTAAAACACAAAATGATATCAATCGTCAAACTAAATATAACAAGAATAACTTGCATATATATGATAGACACCATGGAGTTTGTTATTCTGGGAAAGTTTCCATTCATTTCCTTAGATATTTTAGAGGAGTTACCAAGAGTACATGTACAGTTCATAATTTAATCAGGTTAAATTATAAAAATCAAAATAATAAAAATATGGTCACATTTTGTTGGATCTGAGAAATTTTCAGTAGAGTTAAGAAGTAGTTTCTGCTTCAAAATGATTACTTCTAGATGCAGCAATAGCCAGGTCAATGATTTGCAAAGAGGAACCCTATAACATTTTTTGGATAAAAACATTTGCGTCACATTGTTATTATTTATATAGTTGGTATTTAGAGATGATTTTTTTTAAATATGGAGAAGAAGCAACAGCTAAGTTCATTATCTGTGTACCTTACCACAAAACTAATTTGCACCCAGATGAAAATGGATGTGTACGATAGTAGTACCGTTTTCAAAGCTAAACCAAAGTAAAACAAAAGTACCGAACTCCAAGGTTAATTCAAAAAGTATGAAGTCCATAAAAAATGACAAAATCAATTGTTATCAACCAATTCCAACGGAACGAGTAGCAAAATACTGTCATATTCCTGACTTGGAATAGGTATTATCCGGAAAATGGTGGGTTAAACCTGGTTTTATAGCTAGCTAAGCCTTCCACTTGTATGATAGCTGTGTATAGTTCCGTTCTATTGACAAAATTGAGTAAGCAATCCAAACAGATATACTAAGTTAATGTGACAAAAACAAATCAAACATACAGACAAATAAATCAAACAAAGACGCCAAGAAAACATTTGTTGTTGATGATTTTGATAATGTAGCGGGGAATGATGGTTTTACTCGTCCGTCTGACAGTTGGTTTGTTAGACCGTCAGCCTTTTTGGATTCCGGATTTTAACTCAAATACGTGATATTCGATTGCAACCATACTTTTGTATATGATTACATATAATGATAGAAATAAACCTATTGATTGATAAATTTTATTTTAACTTAAAATAGACCGACGTTTTTCGCAAAATTTGGTGTCCGGATGCGTAATAAATACTACATACGGATTTTTTACTTTAGTAGTATGCAAGTTTCTATATAATGAGAAAATGGTCAATATTGATTTTTAGGTAAAAAATACAACACATAGACCGAAATTATCTTAATATGTGCTAAAATAAAATAAAAGAAAAATCCATTTTGATTTTATATTCACTAGGTCTACGGTGGTCAAAATAGCTATACAATGATTAGCGTAAGACAATATTACTGTCTGACATCATAACAGAAAACTTTGCCATAAGTTCACTATACCTCCCTCTTTATAGGGAGTCAAATTTCACACTAAAAGGTTCCAGAGTACGATAAAGTTCCAGAGAAGGTTTTCTATTATTAAGATTACGAGTAAAGGAGGGAAAACAGATACAAACATGTTCTATAGTGTTCAGACATTACAAGATCAGGTCATGCCGAGGTTTACCTTAACACTCAATCAAATGCAGAATCAAAAGAAGCAAAAGTACATACCGTGAATAAGATTCACAAAATTCAGTAAAACAATTCAGTAGTGGTTGCAGATTTAAAACAATGGATGGAAGGACGAACGGATGGAATGGCAGAATAATTAAGTTACGAACGAACAACCCATTCACTTAATTTGAATGTACGTTTTTAACAAAAGACTGTGTTCCTTACATGAACAACCACTCAAAACGAGTTATGAGGAAAAAAGACTGAAATAAATTTTACGGTCACAATCACGAATTGGTTGACCAATACGATGTGTCTGTATCTCAAATCCCCATCGACATGTTTTTTTGCGGTCTTACATAATTAGATACCATAATAGTCGTAATCTGTAATTTACCCGATTGTGACATTTTGACTGAGTGTGGATTTGCATTACGACTGATGCATATTACAGGTACCGCACTGGCTTTCGCTCCTTTTTTTTATGCGATTCCCTTTGTGCTTGCTTGGTATCTTGGTTAATGTCATCTTAATCAATTGATGAAATAAAAATATCGGTAAGCTAATTTAGCCCCCCAAAAAATCTAATTTAAGTTAATCACTCTAGCTGACACTTACTTTTAAGCGTCTTGCATTCTGCAACTTAAGCTTGTAGATGGATTGTTTTCAATGCTGATTTCATATACCACCTACCAGATGACGGACGTAAAAGCAAGCAGACAACACCCGTTACAAGCCATTAACTATCAAAACCCATATATAGTTATACATGAGTAAGATAGGGTTGTCTTTTTAAAACGACGTATCTGTTACGTTTGACGTTTTCTGTAATACAACACATCCAAGTATGTAGTGAAAACTAAAACCTGTATTACTATCACAAAATACATACGGATAAACTAGATCTTATATTTCAGGGTGACTGTCATGCAACTGACCAAGTATTAAGTTCAATAAAAATGGAAGTTCACAGCGCAGTGGATCAAGATAAAACATGTGTGGTAAATGCTAAATATTCAGTAAATTCTATACGAAGACTGCAATTGTTCTACTATGACAGTCAAACGTATCAATATTAAAACGAATATAAATGTTCAAAACATTCCAATATATATTTTTAATTTTTCTGTATATATTCAAAAATCTACCCAAAGGAACTTACTTTAAATAGACCAAATATAATCGGTAATAACTGCCCTTTCCTAAATTGAGATATTTCAGTTTTACACGGGAAACTCTACACTAAAATTTATGAAAAAGGGACCATTTTGGTTCCCTGTCGTTAATGTTTTTTATTTTTGGATGGTGATGTTCCTTTGGAACCATCTTACGGTGTTAATATATCACAACTCGTTCGCTATGCTCGTGTCTGTTGTGACGCTTTGGATTTAAATAAACGTAATCTATGTAATACTGGTGAATTATTAAGTCAGGGATTTCGTTACCACAAATTACTTAAAATATTGTACTAAATTCTTCCACCGATATAAAGTTTTGGTTTGGAAGTTTGGTAGTATCTGTAGAAAACTTATTATTAACGGGATCCTAATTTTTACGGAGATGTTGTTTACCGAGACTGGAAATTTGGATACGATACGGGTAAACTTATCAATTCTTTAAATAAACTTATTCTTAAAGGTTACCAATTCAACACTCTACAATCTGTCGATACCTGTAAATGTATAATATATTATATACTGTGCTCTATTTGGAGTTAAAAATTTGGGAATCCTAGCATACAAAACATTTCAGTATATTGCACATGCTTGCACTAGACTAAACGAACTTTTTGGCAGGGATGACGAACCTTGTGAAAAGAGACACGCTAAGGCAAGAGCCAACGCACAGATTTAAATTTCCTTGACAATAATGAGAATAGACGTCGATATACAAACTTTTATTAGTGCAATGATGCACGTGCAATATAATTTACATTTAGAACTTGGTGGGATCGTTGACACGTTTGCATGCAGGCATTCATGAAAAAATTAAATTGGAACCAATTCTATAAGTCCTGTTTATCCATTTGCTTTAGTTGTTACTATTTTCATTTCATTAATTTGAATTAAAAACATCGTAAAGTGACCCCGCTTGACAAATTTCTGGATCCGCCCCAATTTTTTTCTATTATGTCTTGCAACTTCAGCAACATGCAAATACAAATGTAACACTGTCATGTAAAATACAACATTTAATGATTTCTAATCATTTATATAGTTCAAATCCTCCTTTATTACTTTGACTTGAGTTGTCATTATTGACAGAATGAGTTGACCTTATAGACGGTCCGAGTTATCTCCGGGCCGAGTTGTGCCAATGATATCCGTCATTACAAATATAGCCCTGAGTGCAATATTTATCAATTATGGAAGTTTGACGAGGTCAATACGTTATATATGGACCTGTTCAGATTATATTGACCGATGACGAAGTCCGAGTGTCAATATAATTTAACAAGTCCATATATAACGTATTGACTGAGTGAAAGTCCTTAATTTATATATAACATATGTAAATAATGCATTAGGAAAATGGACTTCAATCATGTTCTTTCTGTGTATTTTTAAATTGTATTTTGCAAGATTTTTAACATGCCATTGAAAATATGAATATTCTTTAAACGACTTCACAGCTTTATAAGTTAGCTTTCTTGTACTCTTAAGGTCTGCATTTAACATCAAATAATTGATATGTTCTTTATTCTTATAAACTTGCAATTTTTCTTTTCGTCTCCTGCGGCACTTCCTCCATGGTTGTAATGTGTGACATCATTACGTAGAGTATTTTATACATATAAATAGAAACATAGCGTCATATACTTAAAAATAGAAACAAGGCTACGGATACAAAAAAAAACCTTTGATCGTAATATTCCATGAAAAAAAAAGAGAATGCTATACCATATGTAATATTATTGAGTATATATTTTTTACCGCATATTGCACATAAATTTTTATTTTTTGAATATATGAAAAAAAAATATGACATATATAATATTGCATATATATTTGTAAGTTTCAACACAGATTTTTTTTTTAATATAAATAGAAAAATATTGCATTTATTTTTGTAAGCTTTAAATTTTTAAAGCAATATATTTTTTTTAATATTGAAACGTTTGACGTGCCATATTCTACGATTGAAAATTTTAATATGCTAGGTTTTATACATTTCATCATCTAGTAAAACTGTGAAAAATCTAGGTTAAATATTCAATTAATATCAGCAAATTATCTGTTACAAAGATAAATCAAAGCGTGAGAGCGCTGGAAAAAAGCATGTGCCGTATTTCTTACAGAAAATGTCAAAATCTAGATGGTTTCTTTTTATCTGTTTACATACGAAATACCGGGCATCGTGAACCAGTCCGGTAATGCTATATCTTAATACCATAAATTATTAAATGATATGAGCAAATTAGCCCTAAAACGGATAAATCAGCATTTACAATACTGATGACGTTGCCCAGTCGATATAAATCAAGAGTTTAAAATATTGCTTTTCGGACCGGTCCAATATGGAAAAAGCCGTATTTGCCCATGGGCTAATACGGGACGTTCACTTCCGGTTTCAATTTTCTTACGACTAAGCTTACTTAACTTTGGATGTATCTGTATGCATAAAATACATTTGTGTCATATTTTGTAACTTAATATATATAAAAAAAAAGTTTAATTGATGTTCAGTGGTTTGTGACGTCTTGGAACGGAAATATTTCACAGCCTTTTCGAGTACAACTTTCGATTATTATCACTGTTTCATTTCCGTTGATCAATCATCAGAACACAGACGATTTAAGAGTTAGAATAGTTAAACTGTCTGATTATTCTTCCCTTTGCTAGATAAAATTAATTGGAATAGCATAATATTAAGTACTTTGACGAGCGATCAGAAATTACATATGACAATCTTGACAAAATATCCATCGTGAATGCGAAGACAAGTTTCTCACTCTCAGAATAGTTGCGTTAAATTCAAAGTGTGTAGCAGAAACAGAAATTCAAAATAGTTTAAAAAAAAAGAATAATAATAATACTATATTATCACGTGGAAAAAACACGACTTGATGCATATCCGCAAACACAGTAAGGTTACCAATACGATACTCCGATTAAATTAACATAAGTATTTTGATATCTAAACAAGCAAGAGAGCCCCTATTTATTCTTCTATAACAGCAAAATTTAATTCGTAAAAAAAAACAATTAACCTTGTTGGGTACGCTTTAAACTGGTTATAAGACGGATCGAGATTAGCCGATAGAGGGCGCTGAATTCTTGAATCCCTGCGATCGAACGTCATTTACGTTAACTTTAGCGGACCAAAATTTCTAAGTAACAGGGTTAACTATTAAACTTTCATTAAATATTCCGTTTGAGGAATGCTTAATCAAATTAGCTTAATTTTCAATACCAAAATCAAGCAAACACATACTTTTACACGAGCTTAGAAGAACTGTACAATGGAAAATGTGTGCACTCTATTTCACATAAACAAAATGGCATTTACACGATGACAATAAAAGCAAATGCTCTTTAATAAAACCATGCACTTATTTTTATATATCTCAACTTTTTCGACTCGCTGGTTTATGTAACAACTTATTTGATTACTAGTATAACGACAGTAGATCTCAGTATTACTGAAAACTTTTTACACCAGGGTTTTCGATATTAAAACATTTACTAATTTTTTTACCGGTACAAGGACATCATTTGTAGATATAAATCAACTTCCAGACATCTAATACGTTCACTGAGGAATTTATCTCCAATCTTTTATGGTAATATTTTCAACAACGCACAAAAATGTCGTCATTCACCTTAAAAGTTTACCAAACCTTTAAACAGACTTATTCAGAAGGGATATAGTTACGATACTGCTGGCAGGTCATTAAAGATGGCATTCTTAGAATTAATATTGATTCACTCATAGGGTCTTTGCATCGGAAATAAACCATTCATTTTAAAACAGTTGTTGTCGTGATACGGGTTATGTTCTTCTCGTGTATTTTATGATGATATGATACTTAACCCCTAACGGAAGGGATTGTGCTTGATTTTTATATGATGAAGACATAATCTTTCAATCAGCTTAATTGAGGTCTTGTGCTGGCATGTCAGTAACTGCTAGTAGTTCTTTATTAATTTATTTTGATCATTGTCATTTTGCTTAGTTTCTTCTGTTACCTTTTCTTACATCGGACTCGGACTTCTTTTAAAATGAGTTTTACTGTGCGTATTACTGTGTGTTTGTTTATTCTATATTGGCTAGAGATATAGGGGGGGGGGGGGGGGGGGGTTGAGATCTCACAAAACATGTTTAATCCCGCCGCATGTTTGCGCCTGTCCAAAGTAAAGAACATCTGACCTTTGTTAGTCTTGTATGTGTTTTTTTTTTTTTTCATTTATATGTTTCGGAGTGTGACGTCCATTTTCGCTGAATCAGTATACATTTGTGCTTAGATGAAGCCCCCCTCCGGGTGCGGGATTTCTCGCTGTGTTGAAGATCCATTCCTGGCCTTTGGGCTGTTTTCTGCTCTTTGGTCGGGTTGTTGTCTCTTTGACACATTCTTCGTTTCCATTCTCAATTTTATGTGTTAGTTGAATACAGCCAATACCGGTGCCCATACCTTGTCCCGTCCTGGTAAAAAAACAGTTTTATAAAGCAAATCAAATTATTTTGGTACTTTTTATTCGTTTATTTGTGATGAAGTTGATTGAAATGACATCCTCGAACTAAGTATTAAATTATAACACTAAGTTGCTTTGCTAGAATATTCTAGTATAATATTAAATGATTGCTGTTTGCTTACATGTAACATCAGTGGCAAATATGTCATGCATGTTCAGTTCAGGAAGAGAACAAATTAACAAAAGAAACAATAGACAGGTCCTGTAATAGGGTTGACCGATATGTGGAGTGGGACATTTGGACTTTTACTAGATTCTAAGATTAGAGTCCAGGCCTATAGGTCGAACCAAATACTTACTATTTGAGG